AGTTGGAAGAGACCTCATGGGCCATCCAGTCCAACCCCCTGCCAAGAAGCAGGAATATTGCATTCAAATCACCCCTGACAGATGGCCATCCAGCCTCTGTTTAAAAGCTTCCAAAGAAAGAGCCTCCACCACACCCCGGGGCAGAGAGTTCCACTGCTGAACGGCTCTCACAGTCAGGAAGTTCTTCCTCATGTTCAGATGGAATCTCCTCTCTTGTAGTTTGAACTCCTCCTGAATCAATTCAGATTTGGTTTATTAGTTTCCTTAGCACAGGTTTTGGTGGCATGTATTGTATAGTTTGGTCTCCATAGGATGAGTGAAGAAAATAAATTGGCCTTGCCAGCCTTCTGGCAATTATACACATCTGAGCTTTTGGCAAATTACGGTATCTTAGTGGTAGAACAGAAGGTGCTATGCTTGAGGCAAATTTCATGCTTAATTTTTGACATCTTCAATTGCAAGGTAACAACAACAAATCCTGCCTGAAATCGTATGGAACAACTGCTACTCTAAGACATGACTGAGTCTTTGCTGTGTTGCTGAACTGCCCCTGAAACTTGAAGCTCAGTTAGGGTATGCGAGCCAATAGTAAAAAAAAAAAATTGTGAGAGTTGCGGCCCAACAACATCTGGAGGACTATATACATTACTTTTGTCTAGGCTAACCATAGAAAACAAAACTGGGCTTGGGCTTGTCTAGCCTGATACACAATGAAATGAGTTTTGGAGCATGACTAGATGAGAAGGGGTGTGGTTTTTTGGGGGCGGGGAGGGTCAGGAAGCAGAAATATTTTCCATGGGGAAATATTTTGAAAGGGTGGTTTAGGATTTCCCTAGTTATAAATGTCATTTCCTAATTGGTTTTAACATCAAAACATCAAAACAGCTGCAGGACATCCTGCAGCACATTTTGCTCCAGTTTTTCAATGAACATCTCATCAAGTCACACTCAATTCAACATAGTTTGTGGCAGCCACAAAAATGACATTTATGGAGTATAACAAATACTTTCAAAGTAAGTACCATATGAT